AACGATGGAAGGTGCCGTGGTACGCCTAGGTGGTGTTCTCCGGTACAGCTTGAGTAGCCTGGGCACCTACTTCACTTGGGGCGGAGACATCTCAGATTACATTTCGCGCGGAGAAAAGATGAGAGATGATGGAGGCATGTCTGGATAACTCAGAGTTTTTGAAACGTTTCTTTGGGAGGATATTCACGGATGAGGGCTGACTTGGGGTGAAGAAAAAGCCACCATAACTTCGCAGTGGTACCTGCAAATGAAATCCGAGGAATGAGTGCTCCTCTTATAAATTGAGTCATCTTTTATGTACTTTTCTTTGATATTGTGTCATAGCTAGATAGCTGTATACGCAATTAAAATCTGATGCAAAAAAAAGATCGGCAACCATTCAGATTAGTATTTAACTGTACAAATCTACAACCTTCACCACGGAATTAGATTAGATTAGATTTGTATTATAGTCCTAACTGAGTCAATGACTATTGAGGACTCCTAGAATCTACAAATAAGATACTAGTTACATGTTGTATGTTCCTACTTATTAACTTTATACTGTGCTCTTATGGTCAGTGAGGGATTCACCACGGAACTTTCTACCTAAGAATGATAAAAACTCTCAAAAAACCCACAGCCTTGACCAGGTGTGGCCTAGGCATCTGAGCCACACGAGATGGGCATATCCACATATATTCCCCTTCTTTGCAACATTCGAGGCCGAATTGATCCAATCCACCATCTCCTAATTAGATGCTGGGTACGCTCCGGAAACTTATCGAATGGCTTTTCCCCTATATCCAAGGGTTGGTGATGAGAAGGGCTTCGATTCCACCATCTGATTTGCTCGTAGTTAGCTTTAAGATAATGGTACTAGAAGCTTGTGTTGAGAGATGAAGACGATAAAGACCGCGAGAGCTATTGGGAATCCTCATGGAAATAGGACGAGGATGTAATTCAATCTCGACTCTGCAGTGACGGCTGGATGTTTGTAGGAGATATCAATGATAGGTGTTGGGCCTTTGTCTCTCAGTGCTACAGCATTGTAGATGCAATTATTGCAGAATGACCTGATAAGTGCAGCTGGTTAGTAGATTATGGATACATGAATCAATGCGTTTTACAACCTCTTTTTTTTAAAATCATTTAATGTGTATTCAGCTATGGAACTATGATACATGACCAGTGCTATGTCTACATGTCGGATGACTCTTTTGACGTTAGAGACACTCATACTCTGGATTTCATTTGCAAATACCACTATGAGGTATGCTTGCTTACACAAACAGTCGACCCTCCTCCGTTAGTACCCACCAAAGGGAATTTCGAAACCTTTGGTTATCCAAGCATGCCTTCATCATCCATGCATACCAGCGCCGCGAGAAATGTGGTTGTGTTTTGCCGGATTCGAACCAGCGATCTACTGTCTCGAGTGGGATATGTGTCCGGGCTATCCAGACTCTACTTGGCAGACCGGCCAAGACGATGTACCACCGCATCATCCAACTATGGCGATGTTTATAGTATCGCCTGCACTTTCACAATCGAAGACGTAGCATGCATAAAGCTTAACTGAAAATCTCCTTGCCAAAATTCGGGATTTCACGCCCGTCGAGTTTGTATCCCTCCTTTACATCATCTTGTGAACTTGTCCTGATCCCTCTCAGGTCCATCCTAAAGAACTGTCTCCCAGATTTGTGCGCCGCACTTTGTTTCCTCCGCCGGGTATAAATAACGGCGTGGGCGTGTATTTGGTGACCGGCTGAGGCCAGAGAAAGTCGAAGAGAGGTGTGATCATTGGAATGAGGATGTACTAGGTCGTACTTGTAGACTTGATGAGGCTTGGGTAGAATTCGATCTCTTTAGGAGTGAAAATTTGACGTGGTGGAGTAATTTGAATCATCGCCTCGTGGGCCAACTTGTTCGGTATTGCGAAATTTGACTGAACTTGGCTCTGGGAGAATATTTCACTCACAGGTTCGTAGAAGGCACCACTGACAGGTGTTCAGTCTGGCCCTCCAACCTCAATGACTGAGGGGGTTTGATTTTGATTTTATCATCCTGATTTGGCGCACATGGGCCCATGCAGGTGTATACAATATGTAAAACCTATACGGGAGGAAACCTTTATGGTGAAAACCCCCCAATCTTTCAATTTATATACACTTTAAAGTCGTGTTACCTACACGAAGTGCACTAACACTGTTATGTCCAGTGCATATACCGTCAACTCCCTTATGGTAAGAGATTTTCTTTCCCCTACTGCCCTCTCTCTCACTCATCGTGGCTTCGACTTCAATCATCAGTCGAAACTGCTCTAGCCTTCCTTTCTTAGGCATCCACTTTGCAATTCTAGCCATATCTTTCGGGTTATTCAGCACCGCTTGGAATGACCAATTCTCTGCCTTTCTCCGTTTCTCCCCTCTCCCTATAGCCCAGTCGGGACAGGCCATGATCATGTGTTTGAAATTCTGGGACAGATATTCACATTGGCACCGTGGGCTTTCTACTCCAGGAAGATTTCTTCTATGCAGGTAAGAATTGAACCCAATGTGCTCACTGCTTAACTGCATGACTATACTGCTCAGGGCCGTGCTCAGGTGTTTATGGATACTGGAAAGTGTTCCTCCTTGGCTCATTCCTATTATTTCCTTAATAATCCTAGAAATAAAGCCCTGCTTGGTCAGCATAAGCTAATAATAACTCAGACACTCTTCTTACTAAATGTCTATCCAGTAAAGACAATTATATCACAACACTTCTCCATGTTATGGTTTAATAGGGTTAGGCTTGTGCCCGTCACAAATAAACATTCATTCAAGGTAAAGCGGCCCTCATAACAGTATAATCACAATAAAGTACTGCCAATGTAGAAAACACTAGCGCCGTTTGTTCCGTCTGGTTGGTCGGGTTCTGCGTCCTCTGAATATGGTATAAAGTAAGGTATTGTTTAAATTGAAGGGCCTGCTGGATTTATAGCTATGAAGGACTACTATAAGGTTTGCTCAAGTTAGATTAATTGTAATCTATCTTTCGGGAACTTTATCCTCACTCCTATGGATGGAGATAATTATTTACTGTGTACGATTTATTCCACGTACAGGTAGATACTAGTCGAATTGGCCCCTGAAACGGGATAATTGATGTTCATATTTAGGCTGAGTACCTCTGTGAGTTGCTCAGCACAAGAGAATCGGTTGGAGCGAAGGTTGTCGACTAATGCAGCTCATCCACTGCTCGGTGATGTGGCACATATCTGGTTGATGGGATTTGACATGTCTTATTGTCTGTTAGCTAATTCGTCTACTTTACGCTCCGAAATTCACACTCAGGCCCATCTTATCCTTGACTGAATCTGTGCCTGGAGAAACAGGGAGGTCTGACTTGGGAATATCATCACTAGCAAGGTTGCGTCAGTGGTGACTTAAGCCACGTGATTTGACATGACGTCGGAGAGTTTTCTATGGGCTAAGATTCAAGGCAGGTGTAATATGCCGGACTACTACTCATGTCTACCACACCAGCCGAATTCACAGTTGGCCCACCAAGACACGCCATAAATCCACAATCGTCGTAATGTGAATATATTCTTCTGGCACCCATCGTGCGCAATACAGGATGGTGACTAGACAAACAGGGCAGGTTTATAAAGGTCGTAGACTGCTCAGGATATACCTATCTTACAGACGCGTTGTGGACACACTAGGTGGAGAATGAAGCGCCTCTACGATTCCTACGAGACATCAGTCGAGGTCTCGAGATAGCTTCAAACGCCAGCGACTGCGATATGGCTATCAACAAGGGTGTGATGGGTCGGGCGCGTAGTTTTGCAAATATTTTTCTCCTAGACTCTGTGATTATTGAAGGCGAGTATCGTGGTCCACCCCTACGCGCAAATCCCTCTCTCTGCCCACCTATCTTAGCCTGACTAGAAACTAGAGGTCCGGATCGGAGCGTGTCAGGCTAACAGCGTCTCCCTGGTAAGCTTGAATGGGCAGGCACGTTAACTCAAACGAATAAAAGCAAGGCCAAATAAGGAAATCTTCAGGGAGTTGATGGGATCTATAACCTAGTCTTACATCTCGACACTGACCTTACTCATTTAAGATATCCCACAGCGCATAGGTGAGAAGTCGAACACCGCTAAATTAGTTAGTATTTCAAGCACAACAGTATCAGAATGATAGCTTTTTTTCGATTGCGCCCGTTTCTCTAGGGCTAGTTTCTACTGGTTATCAATTGTGCTAATTGGGTCAGTTATCGCATGTGTCCAACTCTGAGAAGGGGAGCCTACACTGAGCTCTTTGCTCTCAGTGGGTCCTGGCGTCGTTCTCATCAAAATCACACTTGAGACAGCTATAATAAGGCACGCAAAACACCCTCACTATCTTGTCTGTGTGTAGATGTATGAAGCAGTCAGAGAGCGTTGGGAATAGGATTAAATATTTTATTCTCATTTCACTTGCAGTATGACTCTTGTAGGTGCCACGCTCCTGGCGTAGTCACGTGATATTCAAATTGGACCCCACTAAACACCGCGACCCCTCAGAGGACTGAGTAGACGAGCGAAATGTGGGTTTCGCAAGCCTTCTGACCATAAGTTATTCGTAGAGTTGAATTGGCCTCCGCTCCGAGCAGACTGCTGGAATCCGAAGGTCGGTCGTCTCTGTCCATTCCTATCCCTTGGCGTGACTTTTCCCTATGATCCGGGTGTAGCATGAGGCTGAGGTGTTTGTAACAGGTCTCATGTCCTGAGGCAAATTAATTTTAGGACGGGCGCCATGAGCACTGGGAGGCTGATAAACGACGGTTGTGATCAGTGACTAGAGCTGCCATCATACCTCGGAAGTATGATGATCTTGGCTGTTCGAATAGTTGGAGAAGGATTTCAGCCTAGGTAACGAGAGTACGTCCGCTGGAAAAAAAACAAAATATTATAATCTTAATATTCCCCCGGACGCCGGACTCTGCCCGGCTTGGCATCACCTTGAGACACAGGGGTTTCATCATAGAACAGCCCCGTCTCCTATTTACAGATTTCGATTCGGACAGCGGAGGTTAACATTCCACTCCATTTGCCCTGTCGTTTGTGTGCCCTCAATCAACATACAGATTTACAACCTTCATTTAACCAAACCTTCAGCCCGAACCACGCGCCTCAAACGGATGAACAGGACACTTCCACATATCCCTCTGAGCATCCCTCTTTATTCAGCATGGCAAATCGAGTGGCAGAACGCATAGGATCCGCGACCAATGAAGTCGAAAATTTAAATCTCGACGAAAAAATCATTAGCCCGAGCCCGCCGGAACTGAATAATCTCAAGGAAACTCTGGATGAGAATGAGGCAAGTAATGACGTGGAGCGGGCAAGACTTCTGTACCACTCCCGCGAAGAGATCACAGCTTCGCCAAAAGCTGTCAGCTCTGCCAGGCTCGCCGTGCTCTGGATGGTCTTAAATACAGTAGCTACTATCAGCATCGTGAGTGTAACCCACGTCTCCTTGCCCCGAGCATCCAGCTAATGGTGCCCTCAATGGTAGGTCTTTACGAATAAGGCCATTTTCTCCGAGCCTTCATTAAAGCTAGCACAGCTTACATTTGCTGCATTTCATTTCACAATTACCTGGCTCACGCTCTACGTCCTGTCCCGCCCTCGATTCTCTATGTTTATGCCAAAGAAAGTGACTATTAGGGAAATAATCCCACTTTCTGTGGTCATGGGACTAAACGTCATCCTACCGAACCTTTCATTGGCCTTTTCAACTGTAACCTTTTATCAAGTCGCTCGTATCCTGCTTACTCCGACGGTCGCGCTCATGAATTATATTCTCTATAAATCCACCCTCCCGAGAAATGCAATACTTGCTCTCATCCCTGCATGTTTGGGCGTTGGAATGGTCTCATATTACGATTCAAAGCCAAGTTCTGATGCTACTGTTAAGACTACGAGCTACTTAGGCGTCTTATTTGCTTGCACAGGAATATTTGCCAGCTCTTTGTACACGGTGTGGATTTCTAGCTACCATAAGAAGCTGAAAATGGATAGCATGCAACTACTATTCAACCAAACACCATTGGCCGCCTTTATGCTCTTATTCGTGATCCCTTTTGTCGATGTTTTCCCAGTCTGGACTGAGGTACCTGTCAATAAGTGGCTCCTCATTATGATGGTAAAGTTCAGCCAAACTCTTGAATCTACCAATTGTAGATATTGAAGCTAACCCTCATAAAGTCGGGATTTTTCGCTTGTTTGATCAACATTTCTCAATTTTTTATCATCGCACAGACTGGACCAGTCTCTAGCACAGTTGTGGGTCACGTAAAGACCTGCTCTATTGTCGCAATTGGATGGATCATATCTGGTCGTGCACTAGGCGATAAGGCTTTGGTTGGTGTCTTTATCGCAATTTTGGGTATAATCACGTACGTATCTTTTTGTTAACCATCCTCTCTATTAGCAATTCTAAGATATAGCCTACCAAACCCCCAGCCTTTGATTTCAAAGGTACCAAAAATATCGAATACATTAAAGCATCTCTACATATAACTCTCCGTTGTCGAGTAATCTAACGAAGTGGTGGTAGATATTCCGTTGTCATGCTCAAGCATAGATCACAACCCGATAGGACGTGAACATAATTAACAACTCATTTCCCAAAGCTCGCCAGATAAGTAGAGGGAAATTCCAATCAGAAATATCGACTCCAGAACTTGCGATACAACTGATAGACGGCTAGATAGCCACGATGAGTTGTAATGTGCGCTACAAAGAGTCTCTTCAGTATCAACGACAAAATACTCGAATACCGCCAGAAAATAACTCCTATCAGCCACATTATAGCATCATTGGGTGCCAAATAAAACGGCGATTAAATCAAATAGTTTACCAACAAGAATTTTCTGACCGTGGAATGAAGCTGCGGTATTAAGGGAGAATGAGCGTCTGAGTAGGTGAAATAAATGTCAATCCGATAATATTCGCAGAATCTTTTTACGATATGCACTACTATCTTCAATTGTTGTCTATCTAGCAGCAGTGGATGCATTTGCGAGCACGAGAGCTACGATTGAAGAAAGCGGACTAAAAGACTTAACACAATTTCTCACTACGCAGATTACAGACATACGCTAGTGGTAAAAGCCCCACTTAAAACCCCTATTAAGTGAATTTTAGGGTTAGGTTAAATGCGAGCAAATGTACTGCTCTTTTCCTCGCCTAGAAGGACTCTTGAGTAGGAGGCAAGAGAACGATAGGGTGAAATCTCACAGGTAGTCAACCAATGAAGCTTAGGCTGAGTGAACGTGTCGCCATAGTTCTAGAACAAAAGTTAGCTGTTATGTCCACAGTTTCAGTTAATTTCCGTGACGTTCAGGTGAAATTAGAGCCTCTTTCCTATTTAAAGTGAAACAGACATGAAGTTAAATCAAGCAATGTGCCTTCGAGCTGCTACTCTGGAAGGTCCACATCGCTAGTATCATATGATTATGACGAAGTAGGGAATCTGTCATTTGGGTTTAGACCTCGCTGACAGCCGCAACCGGGAGCAAGGCTTCTTGTTACCGTGATGACCATCATCCTGCCAACTATAAGTGATTCCAACACCATATGCCGGGGGATGATGAGTACATCCGAATTAGGCCACTTTGTAATATTAGGAGCACTAGGACTACAGCAAGCGACAGATTATCGAGCTTGCGACTACCAGGCGGGCATGATCAACAGAATGACTGTTCTTCTACGAGCTAGACTTCACGCACTATCGCCGCCCGCCAACGACGGGTATAATGAGCATAGAGGCTATACTACCCCCATCCACTCCGTTCTAAGCATAATTTGGACTTTTCAGACTGCCTAAAGCTGCATAAGGCTTACAATAGGCATATACCGGCCCGAGGAACATCCCGAAGATCTCTTTCAACTTATTCACTCCATAGATTTGCACTGTTAGTCGACAGACTAAGCAGAATTTCATCACCTCTGCGCTCGGGAGGGTTATGAGGATTAAATAATAAAGCTAGATGAGCAGACGAATCCGACAGTCTACCACTACGCTAGCTGATCATGAGGCTTGGATGCGGGAGTGCTGCTCGGTGACATCGGCCGGTGCTAGGAAGGGCGTGGCCGCATCTCTTTGTTGAGCGGACGTATGACGCTGCCCGGGGCAGGCAATTAAGAGGCTCCTATGGGCTCGGAAACCTGCAAGATCTCAGGAGAGCTTGAACACGCGGCGTGCCGTGGCGGATGGCGGCAGCATATAGATCGCTACTACTAGCTACGAGCTACCCAGGTTAGACGAGATGCGGAAGCCCGAAAAGCCCTGGCTATCTAACACAAAGACTAGGTGTCCCACCCACCGATGAGCTCAGATTACACGCCCCTGCCTTTGAGACGCCACGAGGCCCTGTTTTGCCTCCCGTCAACAATAACTTTGACGCATCAGACGACGGTTGGAAATAGGTGAAGCTGGCGAGATGAGGCTGTCTCATCTCAGGCTGGGGGCGAGATCTTAGCGATGCGTGTTGTTCCGGATCATGCTGGTGCTATGAGGATGGCTCATAAAAGTGTATCTATCACAGCACTTTCCTTTCGACGTGGGAGATTTCACGTCTGCGCAAGCGAGAATTTTGTAGCGCTGAGCTACTGCATTTCATCTTTCATCCGGTCCACGACGGTCTAGCCCATCTCTTGTGCCAGCTAGCATCCTCTCGCTACTCAAAATTGATGCTGTAGAATATGGATGGTGGCTTTACGCTACAAATTACACACTGCTAGATCCACGTTTTCCCACGCCTCAACTCGTTCTCAGACTTGGCCGGTAAGATGGGCTTCGACGCTTCTGCATTGCGGGTTTTGGTCGTAGTTGTACTAGTGCCTGTGCTGGCATTTTTTAACGGTCCCCGCATGTGCTCAAATCCAACGCGATGTGGTCCTATGAGCAAAGTCTCTTGCGAATATTTAATGAAATGAAGCCAGAGGTTGTGGAAAGGAAGCGCATATCTACCATATCTTTGGATTTACACAAGGTCCAAACCTTCCTTTTCCCCACTCCGCTCAGTCGGTAACAAGAGGCTAAGATTTTGGTCTTTCTGTAGCATGTAGAGAGCTGATGAGACCACCAAATAATGAGTCTGAAGCCAAAGTTTATTCTCGGGACACGTGCCATGTCGATTTCTTATGGTGTTGGGAGTGGATATGATCTCGGAAAATAGGTTGAAAAAACGTGCCAGCTAATTATTATTATTAATTCATTTTATGAGCTTTTCTGAGTCTATGGCCTTGTAGGACATGCAGGTATTCTCTGCCCACCGGCCAAGTATACCTACACTAGTAGTATACCCCCTCCTATGCCTCCCATACTGTCGAAGCACCAGTCTTTTGCGTGTGCTTACATTATCACTGATTTGTGCGCGCTAAATTTACTTGTATTGATTGAGAGTTAATTTGCAAATTTTCAGCATATGTCATTCTATTTTCCTATACGCGCGCGCTTTTATCAGGCTTACAAAATTATGTTCGTTCATTTTATTTATGCGCGCGCCTCTTACTAGAGATTCTTGAGGTTGTAATTTTCAGGAGATTGACTTCGGAAACTGTTTCTTACTCAATTTGCTCAACTCAATGAAGACTGATAGGCCGAGCAGAAATGATGTGATAAATGATAAATGGTTCGAATTTATATAAGCTTGTGAGGGGAGATCTGATGAGGACAGAAAATTAATTCCACTCCAAATATTTCTCAAAATATCTCTGTGCCGTTCAATACACACAGCTCCCCTCACAAGTCCTAATTCGATCATACACTTAGAGGAGCCCTTGGCCCTTCGTTATCTCCCCTGTACAGCCAACTAAACAATGGCCATTTGCGGGTGAATGGCAGCCGGGAAAAATCGCAAAAACCACTCAGTGCGGAGCTCTCCTAATACCGACATTAGGACTATATCCGAAGACATAGTGACCCTTCCGAAGCGTTCAAAGAGGCCGGCCAGATAGGCGCTGCAGACTTGTGGGTACCTCGGGAAATTCACCCTCTGCCTTTCTAGCCTCCTTCCAACTCCTTCCCGAATGTCGTGCTGAAATGTCAGAAAAGTCTTGACAGAGCGTGATTGCTGTATGGTAGCTTAGCCTAACTTTTTTTGTGCCGTCAAGGGCGCTGGAGAGTGCCGTTGGCTCATCGACAATTGAAGTCTTGCTGGCTAGTTAACCTAAATCTTGGTCTTGGCGCCCACAAAAGTTCAAGAGTTGAAAACCCCTCGAAAATGTCAGTCCCAGCGTGGTCTTCAGAGACCTGCTCCCATCTCGCTCCACATCTCCGTCGCCTGTTCTTCCTCAAGTTGTTTGTCCCATTAGAGCAACAGTCCCCCATAAGCCAAGACCCAGGCTTTGTATTTTTCGACTTGATTTTCTCCTTGCGGGTATAAATAGCATCATAAATATTTAGTGGGAGTTTGCTGGTAATTAATGGGGCAAGCGGCAGTTTGCAAATGGGGCTACTCCTTTGTCGGTCTATGAGGCGAGGAGGTGTAGTAAGAATAAGGTAGAGCACTAGCGTGAGGATGATAGGTCCAACGCTGACGAGTAGTCGACAATTTTAGATTTGTTTGAGATTGCTTTCAAGCACGATTCGGTTGCAATTCTTCTTGACTATCCCAGATATGCAGAGAACATTTAGTGATTACAACGGCATCACTGGAAGGTCAAAAATTCGTTTTTGCTGGCGACGTTCCGACTTCGTAGATCTAGGCTGAGCACTTCTAAATCAATCTCTTGAGCATAAATGATTTGGCTTCCTGGGAGTAGTGTACGTGCGCGACTGCGACGGAAACCGAGTTGGTTGTGAATAAATCGATTTATTAAACTATATGATGAGAAAAGAGAACTCTAGCTACGACTAACAGGTATTTATGAGAATTGGTCCCCTTCGTCAATCTCCAGACTGATGATTTATCCTTAGGCACAATACTTGCTACCCAGCCACGCATTGCCAGGTGTTACTTAGTTGTAGTAATATTATGATCCATGTACATGCATTTGCTCTGCACATTCATGCATGGACTATTCTACCAATTGACGATGTCGCTATGATTGTGCGATGGTTAGACATCGGTGGTTGGTCATGAGATTGTATCAAGCCAATGAGGAAGGCTGGTCTCTAGGAGTTGTGATCAGGCACGGGATTGATTGTGCACGGATAATGGCGGTCCTCGGTAAAGTCCAACATATAGATAGATAAGTGGTCGAGTACCGCCCGCAGTGACATACACACATTCACTTCTCTTCATATTCATACTCTAGAACATAAAATCCATTCTTGAGTCATCTCTTATAGATTACCTGTGACATCAACTATTGTACTGTCTCTAAGTCCACTCCCAACCACTGTCCAGTGCTCATACATCACAATAAGTAACGCTTCGACCTCCTGACTAGTAGTGCCGCCATGTTCAGCTTCATCTATCCCCCCCATGCAGCCTTGTTGTAAATATTCTCAACAATCCGCTTAGGTATTCACCTAGGCTCAAATAGCGGTCAAACCGTAACAGCGACTAACCATAAATCAAGTGGACCACGCTACTCGGGGCCGCGAACACCAAGAGACCTGCGCGCTTCTTTATTTACATAACAAGAATAGCAGCGGAAGATGGATTGTGCCGGGAATTTCAGCACGAAACGACGAAGACAGGGCGTTAGAGGAATCCAGCCTGTATGGCATTTAATTTGTTATTAAGCTGCCTCAGCGCTGCATCACTGGTATGGCTTTTGTAATACTGCTTGAGTCGATGGCGACTTAGCACAATAGACTCCACCCTAGGCTAGATCAGGCCTTGTTTTGTGCATCAATTATCTTTTATTTAGATTAGGAATAGGTCTCTGCTTCAACGCCGATGATCGATAACCAAGGAAGGCAAGACCGTATACCTGTACTTGGTGACCTTTACGAACCTCGAAGTGAAACTTTCTCCCAGAGCCAAGTTCAGTCAAATTTCGCAATACCGAACAAGTTGGCCCACGAGGCGATGATTCAAATTACTCCACCACGTCAAATTTTCACTCCTAAAGAGATCGAATTCTACCCAAGCCTCATCAAGTCTACAAGTACGACCTAGTACATCCTCATTCCAATGATCACACCTCTCTTCGACTTTCTCTGGCCTCAGCCGGTCACCAAATACACGCCCACGCCGTTATTTATACCCGGCGGAGGAAACAAAGTGCGGCGCACAAATCTGGGAGACAGTTCTTTAGGATGGACCTGAGAGGGATCAGGACAAGTTTACAAAATGATGCTGAGGATGGATACTATCTCGAAGGGCGTTAAATCCCGAATTTTGGCAAGGAGATTTTCAGTTAAGCTTTGTGCATGCTGCGCCTTTGATTGCGAGAGTGCAGCTGACACTATGAACACAAGTCAACGATGGAAGGTGCCGTGGTACGCCTAGGTGGTGTTCTCCGGTACAGCTTGAGTAGCCTGGGCACCTACTTCACTTGGGGCGGAGACATCTCAGATTACATTTCGCGCGGAGAAAAGATGAAAGATGATGGAGGCATGTCTGGATAACTCAGAGTTTTTGAAACGTTTCTTTGGGAGGATATTCACGGATGAGGGCTGACTTGGGGTGAAGAAAAAGCCGCCATAACTCCGCAGTGGTACCTGCAAATGAAATCCGAGGAATGAGTGCTCCTCTTGTAAATTGAGTCATCTATTCTGTACTTTTCTTTGATATTGTGTCATAGCTAGATAGCTGTATACGCAATTAAAATCTGATGCAAAAAAAAGATCGGCAACCATTCAGATTAGTATTTAACTGTACAAATCTACAACCTTCACCACGGAACTTTCTACCTAAAAATGATGAAAACTCTCAAAAAACCCACAGCCTTGACCAGGTGTGACCTAGGCATCTGAGCCACACGAGATGGGCATATCCACATATATTCCCCTTCTTTGCAACATTCGAGGCCGAATTGATCCAATCCACCATCTCCTAATTAGATGCTGGGTACGCTCCGGAAACTTATCGAATGGCTTTTCCCCTATATCCAAGGGTTAGTGATGAGTAGGGCTTCGATTCCACCATCTGATTTGCTCGTAGTTAGCTTTAAGATAATGGTACTAGAAGCTTGTGTTGAGAGATGAAGACGATAAAGACCGCGAGAGCTATTGGGAATCCTCATGGAAATAGGACGAGGATGTAATTCAATCTCGACTCTGCAGTGACGGCTGGATGTTTGTAGGAGATATCAATGATAGGTGTTGGGCCTTTGTCTCTCAGTGCTACAGCATTGTAGATGCAATTATTGTAGGATGACCTGATAAGTGCAGTTGTTTAGTAAATTATGATTACATGCATCATGAGGAGATATCTATTTTTTCCACATCATTTATATCTGTTGAAGGTCATGCGATAAATCTGTAATTGTATCACGTGTCTCGCTTAGTATTCCACACTTTCCGTAATTGTGAAGTGTATAGATAATTGTAAGAACAAGTAACAAAGTACCAATAGTTGTAGTGATTATACACACAATAAATTATATATATTTATATTTTAAGGAATCTAATTTCGAGAGCAGGTGTCCACACGCAGCTGAATATATAGCTGGTATGCAGTATACTCTTAACTTCACTGTCGCATAAATTACAACAATATCATAATCAGCTTTCTATCTATGACACATGATCAGAGCTATGTATATATGTTGGACAACTATTTTGACGTTGGAGATACTCATACTCGGGATTTCATCCGCAAATACCACAGTGAGGCATGTTTGCTTACACAAACAGTCGACCCTCCTCCGTTAGTACCCACCAAAGGGAATTTCAAAACCATTGATTATCCAAGCATGCCTTCGATATTTATGCGCTCCAGCATTGCGAGAAATGTGGCTGTAAACTGCTCGAGGAAACATCTTGTAGGGGCCGTAGTGGAGGGTCTATCGGTTGATGATGATTACAACCTAGCCGGGTTTTTCCTGATGATTAGACATGTCGAGCTTCATGCAGGGTCAGCCGAATCTAATTTCGCACTTCGCACCGTTTTGAGGAGATGGCGACGTGGTATGCCAGCCGAGTCTTCAAACATGGGGAATCATAGACAATTACAGAGTTTTTAATGTTATATTAAATCCAGCCGCAAAGCTGTAACGCGCGACCTTCGTCTTTCATACTAAAAAAGCTACCTTTTATTTTCAATCCTCAAATAAACTAAACTCCATTTGTAATTATCGTAGTGAGATTAGTTTACCTTCAAGGCACCCTTAACCCTGTTCTAGTGTCATGCTCTCTGGATATTGTGGCAGTACTTTATTTTTGCATCAGATTTTAATTGCTGGGGCAGTGCTTGGCCACGTTGGAAGTATCAATACGATTATTTTTATCAGTCCCATCATTTTAACAGGAGTCCTCTAACTCAATCTAACCACACCGCACCTCGCCTCAACGTCCGATCAAGTAGTTACTCCAATTCCAAACGGGAGCTCGCTTCATCAATCACCGGCCAACTCCCACTACAAAATAACGATGCTACGTTTACCCGTGTCATCTCAAACTAGATGTGGGGCTTGTGCCTAGCACTTTTAAATAACAATCTATCGATCAATCCTTGTATTCCTGTGACGAGCTGTGTCCAGATTGGGATTGGTCACTAGGCCCATTACGTCTAGGAAGTTAAGCTGCAATAGAGCAGCCTGTCCCGATTTTCGAATGGTGCACAGAAGGAGATGTCAAAGAGGGCACGTACCAGATGGGGAATATGGTACAGCAGAAGAATGGGGTTGGGATGAAAGGAGTATTCTTAAGTGGCCAAGGTGGCGAGTTAATTCGAATCTCCGCGGAGGAAATAAGTGATAGGGGACGACGCGGTAGACTAGCTTCCAAAGATAAATTTAACAATTCCCATCGAGTTATCGGGTTTCATACGCTTCAGAATTGTTTAACCCTTTTACAATTCCCAATAATCAAGGCATGTCTTGTCTTCGTCTCTACCATTCAAAATCATCAATCTACGGACATGAGTTACGCGTAACCTACACTGCTACTAATTATAATTATCTTATTCTTCGACAGTTCGGAATCCACTAGGAAAATTAGCTTTCTGGACTATGTTGGAGAGATCCACCTGGACCATACACCACTCCTATACTAGCTATTTTGTCCTTGTGTTGTGGGAATCTAATATAGGATGCCCAATCAGGTGTCTGTGGCTCTTTACTCGAATAAGAACGGTACTGGTACTTTGATTACAGACACTTCAAGTCTCACCCATGGTAGATGTAAATAGCAAATAGAAATGGGTTAGGAGGAGCGTAGTCCCACATGATATGAAGTAGCCTCTTGTGATGAGCTCATTATTGAGCCCAGGCAGTCGAGGAACGAACTGTTCATCACGCCCTCGCTAGGTCTCATGAGATCCTCGGAGCGATTGACTCGGATGAGCCGGCCGCGAAGAAAATCAGGATATCAATGCCCTATCTACACGTAGCACACTGCTCTGTAGCAATCTTAATCGAAGCTCTTAATTCGAGATTCCAGGCGCAAATTCCGGAATCGGCGTTGCCCATGCAATTATGGAGGCGGATGGAGAGTTTTCATATTCCACCCTGTCTAGCGGATGTTTCGTCAAGGAGCGCGAGCCGATAGCTGGAGATATCGCTATCGTATCGCGCATCTATCAGTCACTTTTCCCACGCCGCCGTCATTTTGGTTCGATCGTCAAGTGGCCAGGCCTCCTCAATACTTCAAGAAGCGTATTTGCGACACCATGGCGCTCGATCAGTCCAACAATGAAGCGTTGAAGAGTGAGTTAAATTAGTAACCTGGCCGGCTCTGCTACCAACAATCATCACCTTAATCACTAACAAATTGTCTTTTGGCTCGTATTTAGATCACCATCAGAATGACCAACTCAGATTTTTTGAAGATTTTGGGGTCTGGAGGGAAGCGCCCGTACTAATTGGAACAACCAAATTCGAGCCATTGCCAGATGTGAAGAACATTATGATAACTGGAGGAGCCGGATTCATGTAAGAGCAACCATCTATCTGTGAAAAAAGATTCTGATTTCGAGAAAAGTGCCTGCTGGCTGGTTCGCCATCTAACATTGACCTACCCTCATGCCTACAATATTGTCTCCTTTGATAAGTTAGATTACTGCTCTTCTCTCAACAATACAAGAGCTCTCAATGACAAGCGAAACTTTACTTTTTACCATGGTGACATTACGAACCCATCCGAAGTCGTCGATTGCCTTGAGCGATTTCAGATTGATACCATCTTCCACTTTGCAGCTCAATCTCATGTCGATCTGAGCTTCGGGAACTCATACGCCTTCACACACACTAATGTTTACGGAACCCATGTTCTTCTAGAAAGTGCCAAGAAGATGGGAATCAAAAAATTTATTCATATCTCCACCGATGAAGTATATGGTGAGGTGAAGGATGACGCTGAAGATTTGCTGGAATCTAGTATCCTTGCCCCTACGAATCCCTATGCTGCCAGCAAAGCAGCTGCAGAGATGCTCGTCCATTCTTACCAAAAAAGTTTCAAGTTACCCGTGATCATCGTTCGGAGTAACAATGTTTATGGGCCTCATCAATACCCAGAGAGTAGGTCTTTATTTGCCCTGCTCACTAATGCTCCTGTATATGCCTAACTTCGGCGTAGAAATAATTCCGAAATTCAGTCTTTTGTTACACCGAAAACAGCCGGTAGTTCTTCACGGCGATGGAACGCCTACTAGAAGATATCTGTACGCTGGGGATGCCGCAGATGCTTTTGATACTATCCTACACAAGGGTGCTATGGATCAAATCTACAACGTTGGCTCACATGACGAAATATCAAATCTAGATTTAAGCTCTAAACTACTCACCTACTTAGATATCCCGTACGCGACTAGTAGAGAACTACAAAAATGGGTCAAACACACACAAGATCGTCCCTTTAATGATCATCGATACGCCGTTGATGGTACAAAGTTAAGACAGCTTGGTTGGGAACAAAAGACAAGCTTCTCGGAGGGCCTATCGATAACGGTAGATTGGTACAAACGATTTGGGGAGAAATGGTGGGGCGACATTTCAAAAGTTCTCACACCATTCCCCATTGTCGCAGGCACCGAAATTATTGCTAGCGGAGAGACACTCGAGGATCAACCCGAAGATATGAACGACAATGTTGAATCTCAGGACTATCCAGGCTCAAAGAAGCGGAAAGTTGTTGCAGCATCGTAATTCTGGGTCAATAAATTGGAGAAGAACTGTCAAGAACCTCAAGAGTATGGATATGTGCACCCTTGCATGGGAAAGAAGGTTGGCTATAGAGTCGAGCATCGGAGATCGACTGGCGCAGTAAGGCGTTGATGGATTTTGCGGATCAATAGCAAACTCAGTATCTCCTAAAATTGAGTGGTGCATTGATTAACCTGACTTACTAATTTCCTGCTGAGTCTAAGATTATCTGGCTCATTTGAGCTTATTTTCTATTTACACATTTATCTACAAATTTACCATGTAGATTAATGAAAATTGAGGTGCATGTTGAGTTGTGAAACTAAGTGGGATTGAGTGACAAGGCTCGGGAAGAAGCACTAGACCCGCATAAACCTCCCCTTAATTTTTTGCTGGTGTTTGATACATCAACAATGGACGAATTCATTTGTATCCATGTTGATACTCAACTATTGAGGCTAGATTTAACCGGGTAGAGCATAGGGGAGGGATTCTAGTTCTGTGTGAATGAGCGATCGTCTTCTACTAGAGATAGTACCGAGACATGATTATTGCGGTTGAGATGTACTGTGTTGCATTAGGACTAGCTTGCGCCGATACCTAATCTATCCTGTTAAATTTTAAGAAGCAAGACACAGACCATTTACATACCTATTTCTGAACCATTCATTGACTATCTAGGCCGGTAAAGACGAATTCTTCACCTTCCAGTAGTGCAGGTGTAATCGCTCAGTATGCTCTGCATATTTGGGATAGCCAAGAAGAATCGCATCCGAATCGAAGTCGAAAGCAACCTCAAGCACATTTCCATCTGACGACTTCTCGACAATGCCTCTCTTACCATTCTCATCTGAGTCAACCTCTCTCTAACCACGCATCATCTCGCCTAAACGACCAATAAAGAAGTTGCTCCAATTGCATACAGGAGCTTGCCCCAATAATTTCCAGCCATCTCTCACTACATATTTACCACGCTATTTATACCCGCAAGGAGAAAATCAAGTCGAAAAATACAAAGCCTGGGTCTTGGCTTATGGGGGACTGTTGCTCTAATGGGACAAACAACTTGAGGAAGAACAGGCGACGGAGATGTGGAGCGAGATAGGAGCAGGTCTCTGAAGACCACGCTGGGACTGACATTTTCGAGGGGTTTTCAACTCTTGAACTTTTGTGGGCGCCAAGACCAAGAGTTCGGTTAACTAGCCAGCAAGACTTCAATTGTCGATGAGTCAACGGCACTCCCCAGCGCCCTTGACGGCACAAAAGAAGTTAGGCTAAGCTACCATACAGCAATCACGCTCTGTCAAGACTTTTCTGACATTTCAGCACGACATTCGGGAAGGAGTTGGAAGGAGGCTAGAAAGGCAGAGGGTGAATTTTCCGAGGTACCCACAAGTCTGCAGCGTCCAGCTGGGCGTCCTCTTCGAACGCTTCGGAAGGGTCACTACGTCTTTGGACTTAGTGTTGAAAATGGAGACACGGAGTGTTGTGGACATACAGGCCTTCCATTTCGTCTAGGTTCCCGACACGATCTCGTGTGTATTTAAGAGGTTTGAATTTGATTTCATTTAACCCAATTTGGCGACCTATGGGCCCATGCAGGTATCTATATACTTTCCAATTTAAATGGGAGGAAACCTTCTGGTGAAAACCCCCCAAACCTTCCTGCTTAATTTCTATGTTTTTTATAATGTATCCTTTAGGAAGCGCAGCTACACTATAGCGCCCTCCATATACCCAATCACATCAGCTTAATCGACCTTAAGAAAAGCATGACCTATTCCTCTACCTCAGCAGCATTTCGACCGCCTTTGTCATCTGGAATAGCTCTATCCAACCACGATTTAGGATCCACTGTGTTATCCTTTTGATATCTCCAGGATTGCTTAGCATAGCTTCGTAGGACCGATCTTTCGCTTATCTCCAGATCTCTCCTCTTCCATTTGACCATCGAGAGCAGGACATAATCATGTGCTTGAGGTTCTACGATTGCTAGCCGCATAGACAGCCAGGACTTAATACTCTGGTTACTTTACTTGTGTGTAAATACGAGTTGAGTCCCATATGCTCACTTCGTATTTGAATCGCTTGACAACTTTGGGCCCTTGTCAGGTTTTGGTGAAGAAGGAATGGCGATTCCTGGGGACTTATTTTCCATCGATCAGACTTTCGGTTCTGATAGAACTTGACTACTTTCCAGGTTTCGGGGTCGGCGATTGCTTTATGTCGAGGTAATTTGAGCTGCCTTTGGTTTTTGCAGGATTTAGCCCATTCTTGGTATGCTGCGAATTTTCCTGCCTCTTTCTGCCGTTTTTTTTAGACTTGCCTTCCCCACAAATTTCTACCCGGTTTGCCAGATCTAATCTCCTGCTATCGGCGCAAATGTCTTCTCTCCCTCGTTTGGACAGCCTAATATTACTACAGGCAGATTGTGTGAGCTTCTGAACTGGTAGGTTTTTGGAGCGGCCAACGTATTGGAGTCTTTGCTGCTTCAGGTAGATTTCTTTCGGTATGTTGGCAGTTTTGTGTTCGAGCATTCTCGTGCTAGTCGACTTATACGCTTCTGTAGCTATTTTTAGGCAGTTTCTTTGGATGCTCCGACGGGGTTTCACTATCCTTTCAGAGATTCCACCACCTGGCCTGGTCTCGGCCCAAATTTTAAAATTATATTGTAAACAACTGTAAAGCTATAACAAGGTATGATTGATATTCACCAATGTAAACCAAGGGTCAAACCCTATGTCATAACACACACATATCTACAATTGTTAACCTCTCATCAATGTCGGACCCATCACTCTCAGGGGGTTCTCCAACTCAATCTAAGCGCATACTCTCTTGTTTTGAGGACCGATCAAGAAATTACTACAAGTACGAACAGAGACTCGCTTGCTTGATCAGCGACCAATTGCTACTACAAAATTACGATGTTATATATACCCACAGGGGGGAAAATGAGTCGTGAGTTGCAAAGCTCGGTTCTTGCCTTGTTAGGGACCATTGCTCTACTAGGACTTCATATTTTAGGGGAGGATTGGAAGCTGGGGCGAGAAACCAGAGAATGGAGAGGCCATCGATACGCAAGCTGAGACTGCTTGGTCTGCTATTTTTTTTTGCATCAGATTTTAATTGCGTATACAGCTTTCTAGCTATGACACAATATCAAAGAAAAGTACATAAAAGATGACTCAATTTACAAGAGGAGCACTCATGACTCGGATTTCATTTGCAAGTACCACTGCGAAGTTATGGTAACTTTTTCTTCACCCCAAGTCAACCCCCATCCGTGAATACCCACCCAGGGGAACATCTCAATAACCCTGAGTTATCCAGACATGCCTCCGTCACCCATCAATTTTTCTCCGCGCGAAATGTAATCTGAGATGTCTTCTTCCCAAGTGGAGTAGGTGCCCAGGCTACTCAAACTATACCAGAGAATATCACCAGGAGGTGGACCACAACACCTTCCATCGTTTGCTTGTGTTTATAGTGTCAGCTGCACTCTCGCAAGCGAAGTCTTGGCGCGCACAAAGCTCAATTCGTAAAACTCCTTGCCAAAATTCTTCGCCCGTCGAAAACGTATCCCTCTTCTGCATCATCTTGTAAACTTGTCCTGAAATCTCTCACGTCCATCCCAGAGAGCTATCTCCCAGATTTGTGCTCCACGCTTTGCTTCCTCCGTCGGGTATAAATATCGGCGTGGGCGTGTATTTGGTGACCGGCTGAGGCCAAAGAAAGTCGACGAGAGGTGTGGTCATTGAAACAAGGATGTACTAGGTCGTACTTGTAGATTTGATGAAGCTTAGTTGAGAATCGGACTCTTTGGGAGTGAAAGATTGACATGGTGGAGTAATTTGAATTTTTGTCTCGAGGGCCAACTTCTTTGATATTGCGAAATTTGACTGAACTTGACTCTGAGAGAATATTTCACTCCCAGGTTCGTAGACGACATTGCGTACAGGTGTTCAGTATTGCCCTCCCTTGGTCTGCTAATATTGAAGGATTTCGACGTTGGGCTTTTTAAGGCGCCAAGACTAAGAAATTTGGTTGTTCTTCTGACTCTTTAAATTGGGAGGCGTCACGTTTACTTCGGTGGATGGCGGTGTGGAAAGATGATTTCGGTCGGTGCGAGTCGAGATGGAGTCGAAGGAATCGATCTAGCAGTGGTCAACATGAGGGATTTCAGGCGAGACACAGGGCTCCGGACTTGGACATTGTGTCCTGTTGTTTTCTAATTCATATCGAGTCTTTCGAGATCTACTGGACGTGTCATGTCAAACCAGATAGGTCAAATGGTGGAGCATAGTCTAGACACCATATTTGGACTAGGCATATGAGTTAGGCCACTAACGTATATTCCAGGACAGGCCCTGTTGACTAGTCATTTTGTTGCCATTTGAATGAAAGAAGAGCACAAAAGAGTGATAGAATAAGATAGTGGCTGAATAAGGGCTAAGTATCATGCAGTACGCGAATTGACGTGTGCACAGAGTGCAGGCGACACTATAAACGCCGCCATGGTTGGATGGTGCGGTGGTACATCGTCTTGGCCGGTCTGCCAAGTAGAGTCTTGATAGCTCGGACACATATCCCACTCGGACAGTAGATCGCTGGTTCGAATCCGGCAAAACACAACCACATTTCCCGCGGCGCTGGTATGCATGGATGACGAAGGCATGCTTGGATAATCAAAGGTTTCGAAATTCCCTTTGGTGGGTACTAACGGAGGAGGGTCGACTGTTTGTGTAAGCAAGCAAACCTCATAGTGGTATTTGCGAATGAAATCCAGAGTATGAGTGTCTCTAACGTCAAAAGAGTCATCCAACGTGTATACATAGCACCGGTCATGTGTCATAGCTTTGTAGCTGAATACACATTAAATGAAAAAAAAAGCCGTGTGCACAACCTGGAAATGCAGTGGATGAGCCAACAACAATTACTGTGACACGCCATTCCAGCACTCCTAACCACTATACCACTGCAAGGGAACAGAACTTGGAAAGGCCACACCACAATGATATCCCCACGACTTATTATGTTCATATGCCACTATCTGACCCGTCATTGCACCCCAACGATCTTTGACCCGACACACTTGGATATATGCGGTGGTCAGGCTTCCACAGACACGCCGTTTCGTCTTGCGTAGGTAATGGCGTGATGATGGGTTTTAGGAACACTCCTTCAACAGTTTCCTCGCTACCGTGCTCTTCTCGCTTTCCTCGTCTCGGGAAAAATATCCCATGAAATGAGGTAAGAGCTGGAGATTGCGAATTTAATTATAGTCTGGTTTGTTCTCATTAGCATGGGAGTATCTTGTCCAACTCTTCCTTTTCGCGATCTTCCAAGGATAATTGAAATAGAGGATTTATCCACACCCTCAGAAACGAACCATTCGGAGTTCAAGGCGCTAGTATCGAGTAAGGTGGACGCTTGTGGATCATTATGAACGTTACCTCATTCTGGCAAGCTATCTCCTTGGCTAAATTCGGCCCACAGTAACTCGATACAAAAGCAAAGTAGGGTCTTTGCTCATAGAAAACGTCTCAGCTCATGTGCCACCCTCTCGTCCGCTCATTCTGTATCTCCCTTCAATTTGTCGATTCCCTAGAAATCTAGCTAGCCTCATTCGGAGAAAATAAAGCAACAGCTCAAATACCATGAATTTTTTTCACAAGGCCATCACGGCTGTAATATTGCTTCTCACGACTCCCGCAATGTCAATGATGCCTATGAGGGATGGGAGTACCGGGTACCCAGTACCGGTGCAGGACCACAGATTATGGTTCTCTTGTAGAGGAGTCAACTACGAAAACGAGTACCTTTTTAGGGTTTTGAATCACGCTTATGGACTTATGTCTAGTTATGCTACCTATCCGGTACCTACAGAGAGGGTAATTTATGAGAGAAGGGGACCGTATTATCTATTCCCTCTCCTTCAAAATAAACAAATATACGATTTAGGTAAATTTACATTTTCAAACTATCAAATGACTCTTAGTCAACTAAAATCACGTACCAGGTACTACTTCGGGCCATTATTTGATATTTAATATCGATAAAGAGATTATGGGTGGATTTATAATGATTCAGCACAGCTATAATCCTCAAACCACCGTGTGTGTATATCCGAATGGACTAAGTTATTTACCTCGAAATTGGTAGAACATTTTTGACAGGATGTATGGGAAGAACTTAGACGATCAGCGTTTTTGGTGTTTCTACTGCCACAGTCTGAGTATGGCCACATGGGAAACCATTTGGTTAAAGGGAGCCTATTTCAACCAACGCTGAACTACAGATTGAAGAAAACAATCAGAGCGCCACTGTCCATGACTACTACCCTAGATAATGGCACAATGTTCCTTGAGTTTCCAACGTACTTCATGATCTTGTCCCTTTCGAGCTCTTCCAACTGAGAAATATTTCCATTTAATTTTATGCTTCGGTTTATTTGCAATTTTTTAATTCCCATGCTAATGCGCCAAGTCTAATATGGATATGGGACCGGTGGGGCCGGCAGGGATCACCCTTTTAAAAGCTAAACCCAATCTATCCGCGTGATTCGCTGTCAATATTGCAGCAGATTAAAAATGAAACGTCGCAAGAGAATGATATGTTTATTGTGCTACTTGAGACTATGACTATCTAGCACATTGGGCTCCTCTCTGACCCAAGCCACACCTTGTACAGTGCTCCTATCCTCTTTTGTTACTTGAAAGATCATTGATATATTTCCCTTGATGAATAGCCATTCAGCTCAGTATTTACCCGTGGAATTCAGCCACCTTTTCCACGGAACCTTCTACCCAAAAAAAATAAAAATGGTAGCAATGGAAACTGCGTGCGCGGGAAAAAGTCTCAAAAAACCAGCAGCCCCAGCCAGGCGAGGCCTAGACACCGGGATCACATGAGGTGCGCATATTCATCTATATCTCCCTTCTTTGTAATATTAGAGGCCGACTTGTCCAATCCGCAATCTCCGTATCGGGTGCTGGGTACGCTCCAGAAACTCATCAGATGGCTTTTCCCCTATGACCAAGGGTAGTGATGAGTAGGGCTCCGGCCCTACCATCTGATCTGATCGTGGTTAGCCTCATGATAATGGGGATAGGGGAATGTGTTGAGAGATAAAGACGATACAGACGGCGAAAGCGATTGGGAATCCTCATCGAAGTGAGGACTTTGTTACTCAATCTCGGCTCTGCAGACTCTACAGTGAGAGCTGGAGGCTCGTAGGGGACACCACTGACAGGTGTTGAGAATAGCCCCCCTCGATATGACAATATTCGTCTTAGCACGATTTTTTCTTCGCGCATGCATTACGTTCTCATATTATTATTTCAATTTTTTGTCCTGTCTGAGTCTATGACTGTGCATGAAATGCAGATTAAATTCTCATAGTAAAGACAGCAGATTAACGATAATGCATCTATCATTGTCTATTGATTGATTGATTTATTTTAGGGTTCTAAGCTATGCTCTATATCTCCTAGGAGTCAAAGACCGGTGTACACGGCCGAGATCATGCTTCCCACATGCCCACCTCGGTTTCACCGCGTGAACCACTACACATCCAGTAGCTAGTTAAAAGAAAGAAAAATAGAAACTCCCATAACTAAAGTTTCAAACCCCATATTCCTATTTGTGGTTAGAAAATGACACTTCTCGTCTCACTTTCCTACCTGTCATGCTTCGGGCTTATGATCTAGTTACTGCCGTCTCCGCTGACAGCTGGAGACGGATCCAGAGGTGGGCCCCCGAAGCAGCCGGTTTCCTGCGCAAAATTTGTAAAGTTCTCGAGGCACTTAGGCCCGAGAAGCTTGTGGACAAAGCCGTGATGTGACATTGTCCCTCATAGTCGACGCGTCTAGCGTGCGTGCAGTCGACAGTGAATGAGATGAAGAGGTGATGTTTCCTCCCCACACGCACACTCCATTGAAGCTGCGAAGTTGTTGAAACGGCGGTGACATGCCGCGAAGTTTCAGTGGCCCGTACGGGCTGAGATCAGTTCGCGAAGTAGCCGCCGGGAAAGTGCCTGCTCGCGTGGCTTGCGTCGTCGCATGAGAAGTCCAAGATTTCGATACTTAGATGGACATACTTCTTCCCACCAGTCGTCGAGAAGCGCCTGACGTTTCCGGTTCATGAGCCGACGAACGTACGCCATTGTGACGGAGCCAGGCTGGCTGTCTTTGCTTGGCAGTTGTCGGAGGCTGGAGCGTCCAGCTCTGTCTGCATCTTCGTTTCCCTGTATCCCGGAGTGGGCTGATATCCACTTCACCGAGACTAGAGTCTTTTTTTCACGGAATAATAACAGGGGTTAGAATGATGGTTTACTATTAGCATACAAATCTAGCAGGCCTGAGTAGGGAAAGGTAACGTAACAGTGAACTACGAGCATGTACATAATAAAGCGTAGCCTCCAGTCGAGTCGCCTTCTTCACGCAACGTCTTCTCAATATTATTCTCATTCTTGATATTCCATCTCTTCCTTGCGAAGACCACTTCGAGCCCGTACTCGTATCAGATCACGACGTGCCCTCTATCTCTTCTTGTGGAAGACCATGACTCTCAATTAACTCACACTTGTACCCTGTGGACAAATGGCCTACACACTCCTCGAGACTTTTTTGATAGCGCCCTAAATTGGCGTACGTCGTCTAGGCTTGTTGTGGCAATTCCCGTCAACAGTGCCTTGACTGCAGACTGACTATCCGTCAATACATTGATCTGCTGCCTGCCGTCCCTTCCCCCGTTCTCCATCTCCGACATTCCCAGCGCAGCTTCCAGAGCCTTTCTCGCCCCTAGAATTTCCGCATCAAGCACTTCACCACCATGCTTGATGCCACATTCCTTCAACAGAGTTTTTGCACCCCTCTTTAAGACGAGCCCCCATGCTGAGCGACCATTCCTCGTATGGTTGGGCGTTTGGACCCTGGCCACCAGACATCAGATCCAAAGGTTGCTAGTGAGACAACGCACATGTCTACTGCGCTAGCTAACGGCCCGGGGGCTGCTCCCCGAAAGACCGATTTGAAGCGGCGCATATGCTGTGCAGCTTTTATCGCTTTCCCGCATCAGGTAGTTACGTGGTGTTTGAAATTGAGTCGAGGATCCAAATGTACGCCCAGTCGTCGAATATGATCATCGGGCTCAATGAGATTTCCATTTACGTGAACCCCAACCGCTTCTTCTCGGCGTCGTCCTGGGAATTGGATGACTTCAGACTTTTCTGTTTCGAAGGCAACGGCATTCGTCTCTGCCCACTCGAGAAGATGGTCTACCTCTCTTTGTGCAGCGCCGGCAGATTCAGCAACTGTGCGTCCAAACCCCAGAATTCCAATATCATCGGCTTAGCTAAACCTCGATCCTGGGTTGCCACTTCGCATCGGCTCCGCCATGTACAGAAGGAATAGTAAAGGCGAAATTGGTGATCCCTGCGGAACTCTGCAGACCAGCTCTTTCTGTGTGGTGGCTCCTCCAGAGAAACGCACTTAAACCTTTAGATCTGTGAGGAATGAAGTGGTCTATCGGAGGACTGAGTATAGCCATCCCTGAGTTTGCATGCGCCTAACCAAGCGATTGTGGAGCACTGCATCAAATGCTCCTTGGACGTCTAAAGTTACAAATGTCGAGGCCCATCCATGGGAGCGTGCTTCTTCGACGTCATGTACTACGCAGGAGACCAGGTCCGTTGCAGATCGCTTTGGGAGCGCACCGAATTGTTGATGGCCAACCACATCATAAGTGATTGCGAGGTGCGCCATTCACTTGGCAAGTTTTCTTTTTAATCCTTTGTCTAGGCACGAGAGAAGAGCAATTGGCCTCCAACCTTTGACTGTAGTTGGGTCCAGATTTGGCCTTTCCAATAGTACCACTTCTGCAAGTTTGAAGCAAGATGGGTGGGTGCCGAGCCGTATGCAAGCTCTAAAGAGCTGCGTAACACACGGTCCGATCGTCTTCCAGCAGGCCTCAAGAAGCTCAACTGTGACTCCGTCTGCTCTTAGGGCCGCCTCGGTACAGCCGATGGTGTAAGTTCGCACTTCGTTGTCTGTTATTTCGTCTTCCCAGGGTATCCGGTTATTACTGGGAGCAGTGCACGTAGGAAGATCGTCCGATGCTTTGTGACGTGCAAGGAAAGTATCAGACCAGTATCAGAACCCGGTGGAATTCGTATTCCTGAATTAATGTTTCGTGATTCATGTAAATTCCATTCTTATAACATGATCGTAACATTATTGTCAGAATAATATGCCAAGCTGGTACCTGACATAATTTGTGATTGCCTCAGGAAAACCTTGGCGTTTTGGGTAATTTTCAGCTAGAAAATACTTGGCGTCCATGTAACAGACGTGGTGGACTGGTGTTGAGTCGGTTTAGGATTATATCTTGGCTACAACATGTTTGGATTGTATCCTGTGATGTAAGGAAGCTATTTCTAGATATTATCATCATATGTCAGGTAGTAGGTATGTGTAGATATATAAGCTGAGAGAAAGAGGAAGATAGACAGACAGACAATTACATCTTTTTATTTCACTTCAATTAAAAGCTCCTGTGCGAGCTATTCTTCCAGATACCTCTAGTCTCAATCATTACAGCTTCCGAACCAGCTCAAAAGGTTCGACAGAAAGCATCACGGAGAACTGTGGCTCGCTTAGATGGGTCGGTGATAACGGAACCGTTATAGTTGAGCGGCGGAGGAGATCTGACCTGTCTGTGGCTGGCCGAGCGCATCAGCTTGAATGTGTCTGCCGGAGATGTCATCGCTTCGACTTGACATATCTGATATTCCTTCTTGGCGGCTGTGATGGTCACACGTAGCTTCTTCGCACAGATAGCCCGCTGTGAGAGTGATGTCGCGGCTCGGTATTCGACGTGTGCGGATTTGCACCCAGGAGTCCACCACGGTGCAGATTTTCCGCTCCCCTTTCTGACCCGTGTTCCACTCGCTTTGGTGGCCTCCGAGAGATGGAAGCAGATCTCTTGGGCATACTCATCCACTTTCTCTATTGTACTCAAATCTAAAGTTGGATGTACCCATTTTGCAATGGCCCGCGCAAACTTTGGTAGATTTTCCTTGGATACTCTGATCTTTGCTGGCACTGGGTCACTGGTGACTGTTGCTGCAGGTACGATTCCGCGGATTGGAAGATAGTCGCTGG